GGGGAAAAATTATTGTGTCATCAGAGTTATTAAAAGTGTCATGGTTTACAGAAGAACTCAAATATCAGTGCAGATGTTGATGAAGAAAGTGTTCATGCTGTTATGGAAACTGAATTGTAACATGTGAATGGTCAAGTCAGGGTAATTTGAATTGTAACAAATGGAAGCAYGATTATGTGTCATTATTTCACTGCAAGAAGAAATCAAATACGTCATGAGTGTAGAAGTGTGTCTGTGGAAGGAGCTGTACATTAACTGAATGGTTGGACAGAATATTAGAATTAATGCTTTTCATTTCTTGAAGTTTAATTTCAGATTTAATCTMGATGGGAAATGATTATTCAGTTTGTAACCTGACAACTTTGTCTTCAGGATTTTCAGTGTCAAAGTGTACTATACAGGGATTCTCTTTCTATCTCTTCTGTTAATAACTGACTCCTTAAGCATCCAAATCAGACATTGGTATTAATAAATGGAGATCCCAGTTTCTCATTAATAATTATATTGAATTTCTACAAAATTGGGAGMAATGGCAGGAAATGTGTCTCCAATTATTTTTACACTTCACCAACTGGAAACAAGGATTTTTCCCAGTTGRCTGCAAAGCAGGAGTTACTGCAGTATGTGAAATGATTTGGTGAATTCAGAATCTTAGTTAATAATGCCACTAAAGAGGTGTTTGATTTGAATTGTCAGAAGGTGCTGAGATATGGTGCATTGGCAAGTCAGAATTAGCTCTCAATTGTCTAATAAGGATCTCCTGGTAAATCTCTGTAGGCATTGCTGAACGGTGCCTTTTGGAGGAGTCTGCCTGCCTGAGCACCACGTTAAATGTGGAGGCTATAACCAGAATTTAATAGATTATTATAATGACTAATAAAGATTTGATCACCCAAGAAACTGGCAAAAGTCACCAAATTTATCTGGCAGCRAATGCCTTTTTTGATGAGGTGTGTTTAATATAACTTAAGTAAAACTAGAATTATGAATGTCTCCAGAGAGGCATTTACATGTGAGATAGATCTATAGATAGATATATGAAATGCCTGATCCTGAGCTTTGCTGCACTCCCAGGATGTGCTTATTACTCCTTATCTCTGATCCCTGGCTGATACAAAAGTACTTCCAATCGCAGCCATGTTATACTATTTTTATCAGAAACTTCTCTAATTTTGTTCTGAAGAATAGGCAATGAGATGGGAAATAAATTTCTTCATGTAAACGCTCACAACATCAGGCAGGAGAATGCTGCAGTTCCATATGCTGAGTATGTAAAGAAAAGCCCACAAAACTCAGTTTACATTTGGATACAGGGAGAGCAATAAATCAAAGGGATGAATAAACCAGCAGCTGATGAAAAGGACCGGTTATTTTAAGCTATTTTCTATAGATGCACCTCAGGCAGAACTTGACACCAAGACAAAATCAATGAAACTGAATCGTTTGCCAAACAAACGCTGGGCAGATCAATCAGGAATGCTTAAAAGCTAAACAATGACCCGGTGGGAAGGAGGAATTGATTGCCTCAGCAGGTTGCTTTTTGCTTCAGAGTGGGCCAAGGTGAGAATGTGGAAAAGAGCTTGAGCCTTTAATACATGARCATTCCACTGCTGAACAGGGCAATGCCGGCCTCTCTGCTAAGGCTTCTGTGGCTCAGAAGGCAAAAGAAGGAAAAGAAAAATGTTGTGTTAAAGCCAAGCAGGTGTAGCTGGGACAGGTGWRGYTTACAGTAAATGCTTCCTGACCCCAGGGACTGGGGGAGCCAGGCTGGAGAGTTTCTGCAGCACAGCTACTCCCTGGTTCAGATTTGGGTATTTTAAATTTGTATTTTAATCTGAGTAAARCAACCATGGTGAACCCTAAATCAGCCCCCCAGACTAACCTAGGATTATTTTTATTGGATGTGACAGATGAGAGGATTTGCAAACATTGTAGGTAATGGCTTTTTCTTCCTCCATCCCAAACACATGGTGGCAAAAATAGAYTGTCTCAATTTCATCTTCATGTGCATTTGCCAGAAATATTGACAGGATCATTTTAAGGTCTTCATACCTCTGCCCAAGAGTTTGTGGAATATTTGACCAGTTGAACTGTCAGTACATTTTATAAGTGTCTTGTTTAGTGCCAGAGATTTTATAGGTATTATTCAAGCTTCAGGCCAGAAATAAATTATTAAATCTAATAACAGGAGACAGGAGACATGGGAGATAAATCTTTTCCTCCTACTTGACTACCGTGTGTTTTGGGAGGGTTGCTCATTTTGGTAAAAAAGCCAGAGCTGAAGTAGGCAAGTGAGATGGCTGGTTGTCCCACCAGGTTTTGAAAAAGTGACGATGAAAAGACTTTTAAATTTATGACTCTTTTTAAAATACTTGAAACTTTACCCCCATAGAACATCTGTTTCCATGGAAGTTGATCAATTCAATTTCAACTCCTGTTTTGATGCTGGATGCATGAAGATGTAATTCCTCAGACATACTTTGATATCTACAAACCTACATTAGATAATGATGTGTCTTAGATTGTCATTATAAAAATTAGCTAAGACATTTAARGTAAATTAAGGTCTAATTTAGTTATTAGATACATCATGTTGTGGAGTAGCATCATTGAAATTAGCAGAATTCCTCGCAGTTTGTGTCACAGACATTGGTGTTTGTGTGATTACCCCGAGTGACCCGATTAGCTCAGTGATGCTAACGCAGCTCTGCAGCGCAGGGAATTCCTGCTGCCCCTTTGCCCTTTTCCCTCTGAGTAGCGTTGCTCCATTGGGCTGGCACTGATGTCGTTTTGGGGACATGCCAGCAGGAGGAGCTTGTGCATTAAAATGTGCTTTCCATAAAGCAATCACCAAATGACGGTAATTGCACTCAACTCGTGCTCTCTTCTGCAAGGTAAAGCACCTTGTACCTGCCAGGGAGCTCTGGTGCCTCAGAAAGCCAAAGCTCTGTCAGCACTGACCATTGTGCTGGTGAATTAACCTATTTCTGATTGAGAAAAGCSCAGTAAAGTGAACATTTAATTTTATTCCATTGGACATTTGATATTTAGATTATTTTACATTTACACATTCTGAAAAATACATATCTTAACAGAAAACCACAACCCTCTGAAAGCCAATGTCACATGCTCTTTTACAAGCATTACAGTATCAACACTGCATTGCTCAATTTTATAAATAGTATAAAAATTATGAGTAATAATATTCATGTTACTAAAAGAAATCCATGCTAATGAGCACAGCTGAAATTGGATTCACATGATCAGAATTCTCTACAGCAACTTAGATAGCATTGCTGAGTTTGAGAATAAGAAATCATAGGGCCACAGTTGGAAGYCCAATTATCCKTGGCTACAGGAATTAACAACATAGSCTAAATTAATTTTTAGACTTTTTATTTTAGTSWMAAKAAAAATAAGGMATTAAAGRTCTAACTTGTTAATTTGGTTWTTGAAAAAGAGGAGGATGTATGCCGCAGGTATTTTATGCATTTTTTCCCACAAAAGGCTTCTTAGTTACCTTAGAAGACTAAATACTGTAATAGGAATGTGGAATCTTGATTTAGGAAAATCCTTTAAGAAATTTAGACCAGTTAAATACTCCGCCATAAAAAAAAATAAAAAAAACCAAAAACCACCAAAAGGAAAAAAAAACCCAACCCAAAAAACCCCCCCCAGAAACAAAAAAACAAACAAAACCAAACCCAAACCCACAACCAAACAAACAAAAACCAAAAAAAAACTTTATTTCCTGTGGTTTAGGATCTGAATAAAAAAAAACCAAAAAAAACAAAAACCAAAAAAAAACTTTATTTCCTGTGGTTTAGGATCTGAATTGAACATAACTTTCCCATGCTGTTTTTTTTTCTGTTTCCTTTGTGGGAACAGCCTTGTGTGCACTGTCGTTCCAAAGCTAATGGCCACCAGTGAGAGAGCTGCCCTTTCTTGCAGAAGGGCTCTGCTGCCTGCCGGTGAATTTTCCACTCCATCCCAGCACTTGTTAAAGGCTCTGCTTCACTCACATCTCTCCCATGTGGGTGCTCAGAACACCTCGGTGGAGCCTTGTGGCTCTGGCAGGAGTGTCTGACCTGGGTGTGCAGAAGGTCACTCTGAAGGAAAAGGAACTGCATAAAGATATTCAGGGTTGTTTTAAAAWATATCTGTGTTTAATATGTCCAGAACTGCAGATGAGCAATTTCTCYCTTTTGGACTTGTTATCACACTCTGAAGATAGATATTATAAGGTTGGCGTTTTTCACTTATGAAAATAAGCTTTGTATGCTGTGTGATTTTATTGCTTAGTTGAGTTGCTAAATGCAAAACTTAGTTTTATTTATTGATCTGTGTGTAAGCAGTTTAATTAAAAACCATGTGGAGTCCTGTAAAAGAATGGCAAAAGTACAATGCTATCCCTTTATACTGTAGTTTTCCGAGGAGTCTATAGCCTGAATATCAYCTAGGTAAGCTGGAATTTTCTGTTATTGCTTGTTTTTGAACTGAATGTACTTCTTCTCAGAGTCTTTTCCAAAAGGCTCATTCATGTAAGGCTGWAGTCTGTTGTGGGTCAGGAGAGACTGAAGAATTCAGGGATGTATTACCGGTGTACTTCATCATGTAATGATACATCCATCCATGATTAGAGGATTGTAAATTGAGCATCATCCAAGCTCTTGTCTATTTTGCTTGTACTTTGATCACTTCAAAATGCTTTCCCCACCATTCTGAACTGCAACTCATAGAGATCCGCTTTTATCCTGTAACTTGCAATCTTCATAAAGTATTGAAAGTTCTCCCAGTTCTCATTTCTGAAGAGCCCATTTTGTAATTCACGCTGGAGATATTAGTAGAAAGAATTCAATTCCGTGATGTTGAAGATGTGTGCTGTACTTTGCAGTCATGTGCCAGGCTCTCATAACATCTGCTTTTTTTCATGTTGGAATTAACTGCACAACAGTTCACATATGAATGAGCTGTTCTGTGTTTATTTTTTGTCTCCCTAGTGATATCCCACCCTCTGGAGAGCCAGTGAGCAAAAGCAATCGCTCGAGAGTGACCACGCGCTTCCCCAAACTGTCGCGCAGCCACCCCCGGGAGCCGCGGAGCCTGGAGCCCCAGAGCGGTGATCTCTGACCCCCTTCCTTAATTGTCACTATGGGCAGCACGACTTKAAGTTGTTCTGTGATTCCTTCCTAGCCTATATTTATAATTTAAGCTCCTGAAGAGACTACAGCTGCATCAACTTAAATCCTGAAAAGAGACATTCATTACCAAGGGTCATATCCTGATTAACTACTTTGGAAGGCAGTAATCACTTTCTCAAAAGAATACGAGGGCTCTTCACGAGAGCTCAGCAAACTGATCGGCATTTCCTTTGTTTTGTAAAGCTGCACTGCACAAATTCTCCTTTGTTCYTCTGAAGTCCTTCTGTCACAATGAATTCCTTGTTTGTATTATGTTGTCCCTTTTTCCATGTACAGTTTTCTGTTCCAGAGAGACATAGGCTTCATGTCAAGACAATTTTTTTTTYCTTAGAAGAACCTGTATGATTATCACTAGTTAATATGTCAGAAGGATGTGCTTAAAAGAACCTCACTAATTTATTACCTTTTGTAAATAGAAAGACTGGGTTGTTTGGTTTTTTTTAAATGTAAACCTCTGACACACAAAGGTTTTTTAAAAAACTTGACAATGTAGATTATGAGAAAAACATTACAGGTGGAAAAACAGCTTTTGTACATTTCTAGTTAGATATTCTCAATAGCATTCATTTGTGGGAAGTAATTCTTGAAAGTCAGAGAATGTAATAATTTTTAGTGAAATTTCAGTCATGCTGTAAGGCAGGTGCAATATTATTCATTTCTGCAAACCACCACAAGGATACACAAAATTACCGTGATACAAAACAAGTGGCTTTCAAGTGTTGGGTTATATTTTGTCATTAATTTGCTGCTTATGTTAGAACAGTCCATCATTAACAGGGCAGGGTGGAATTCTTAATCTGATTTTGTAAAGCCCTTCACATGGTGATACTAAAAAATTGCCTGTAATAAAAGTGCCTGTTACCCATCACCTCCTATTGAAAAGTAATTTGTAATGCTACTACTGTAAGAGTAACTAAAAATTTGACAAGAATTATTACAAGTGATGGAAGTCCTGACATGGATTAACTGGAATCCAGTTCAGTATCCATTAGCTGCACTGCCGTAGGCAGTTAATTATGTTTTAGCTATCTTCTTCTCTTCATTAAGTTTAAGCAGTGTATGTTCAAATTTCCTATTAATTGTACTCTGGTTTTCCTTTGTGTAAGAACATCTTTCCTTACACAAGTTTTTTTGGATAATGTTACTTACATTGATGTATCTTGTCATTTTATTACCCATTCATTATATTAAATTTTCACATCTTATATTATTCTCCAGGAAAAACAAGCTGATGATTAATAACAGACCTTGTACCTCAGCGCTTTACTAAAGTTTCAGCAAAGTGGAGCTTGTGTTCAGCAAGCCTGTGATCAGTGAGTGCAGCCAGGGCAGTGGTGCAGTCATTTCCAGTGGCACCTCTGCCATGAGGAGGGGTTTGTTACCCACACTCAGAGGCATCAGAGGCTGTGCCTGAGTGTGAGCCCCACTGCTGGGTTCCTACCACTGGAATGTGCAGCTTTTCCATGGCACTCAGCAGCAAAATGTGGCAGACAGGAATGGGGTTCACTCTCCAGGTCAGAAATGTCAGTGGTAAGTAAGTAAAATGTCACAGAAATGAAACAATATTTCTCAGTCASTAAGAGATTTCAGTTACCAAACAGATAAATAGAAAAGCCCAAAGGCCAGCCTTTAGTGTGTCCATTAACATATGAATTACTGTTGGTGTTTTGTGTTAGTTACAGCGGGACACTTATTTAAGAAGAAAGGACAGTAGACTGGCAATTAAGTAGCTTCTCCAAACTCTTCGGTCTGATACACTGCTGATGGTTTAATTTGTCTTTTTTGGAAAGAAAAGTATCTATAATGATGGTCCCACTTTGGAACATTTCTAATTAATTTTTCACCAAGTGGAGACTTGGTTAGTAGAATATGGCACTGACACTGAATTGCAAGTAAATTTGAAAGAAAACACTGTGTGGAAACCTTTGTGATGTATCTGTTACATGAAGCTGTATTCATTTTCRATGAAAAATAATTCAGAGACATAATTCAGAGAATCAAGTACTTCTTATTCAGAAAGTTGCAAATGGTAAGAATTTCATTTAGTGCAGACTGAATTTCTTTTTAGTTGTTTAAAAGGAAATTTTTGTATCTTCATTTGGCTCTTAAAATTATTTCATTCCTGATTATCTTGCTTCTTGTAATTTTTAATGTATGTATGTAGATCACATAAAAATACTAAACTTGTTTATCGTGTACAAATTGCTCTTTGTTAACTTTAGCTGAATTGTGTATCAGCTCCTAAGATTACATTCTGCAAACAATGTTCACTTGGTGATACAAGATACCATAATGGGTGCATTACTAATCCATTTATCTCAGCTGTGGTTTCTCTAAAATCCCAGGAAATAATCAAATGAAAGCGTTTCTTCACAAGGTGCCATTCTCACTTTATACCCCTGGTTCTTTTGAAGACCTCTCAGGTACTTGCATGCGTGCAGGTAGATGCCTAGGGACAGGAATGCCCACATTTTTACCACCTCAAGACATTCTGAAAGGCCCTGTCTTAGAATCCTGTGTATCAGTTACAAGTCCCTCTTCTCTTTATTCACCAAAAGCAGCAAATTCTCTTGAAGAAAGCTGACCAGTTGGTATTAAGAGTCCCCAGTAGTTTGTATTATTCTTATGAAATACCTGTAACAATGATTCTGCCAATGAAATGACTTTATCAGTTTATCAGTTCAGCCAGTCCATGCTAGTTACAATTTTTGTACAACTCTAAACTTCCTTTGGCTGACTCATAGCTCTTAAACTTGGTCTGTGCTCAGTGGGAAGCTCACAGTGACCTGCTGGGTTGATTCCTAATGAATTATTAATTAGTTCATTACTGGCCATTCCTGCTGGCACCACTGACCAGTGCAATAATCCCAGGACAGAGGCTCGGGGCAGACTGGCCCTGGAGCTGTTCCTGGGAGCTGTGGGCTGGTACAGCCAGCCAAGAGCAATTTGTGGTATTGTTTTCATTTCATCTCTGCTTTGTCTTTAGATCCAGGGCTTCTCCTCTGAATCCTTCAGTGACTTTTCAAAATAAACTGTAAAGGGGTGGCACAACTCTCACTGTAATGCTGTTATCCAGTCACATCCACAATGAACACTTTYCTAAGAAACAGAGAGCAGGCAAAGCTCTTCCAGCTTTTGCAGATGTGTCCATCAGTATTCACAGACTGACTGTGGGTTTTCAGAATCTCATTTATTTAGAGATTCTCTCATTCATTATAGAGAATGCAATGTGTCGACTTGGCTTTTGCAAATTAAATCACAGTTCTCAATAATAATAATAATAAATCTCCAAGGTTTATATGAAGCAGGATATTGATGTAGTTATAAAGGCTTAAATTGATATGTCCGTTAAGTCACATATTCCTAGGAAGATAATAATTTCAAAGCCAGTCTTTTTAATGGAATGTACTGTTGATGTGATAGTTGTAATCAAATAATACTACCTTACAGATTCTACTGCAAGTCATAAACCATCATGATTGAATTAATACAAGTRTTTAGAGAAAGAACAGAATGGTATTAAAGATTACTGGCTCAAAATCGTGACCTATTGCTAAGGTGCTTCTTTTTTGTAGCAGTCATGTTTTATTGTACAGAACAATATCTACATGGTAGCTGTCAAATTAATTAATAAGAACCTACTAACAAATGGGGTTGACTGACTCAGAGCAGCAAGCTGATAATAAATGAGACTTGGTGAAMCCCCAGTGAACTAATGATGCTTCAGCCAGGACATACTAATGGTGTAAGAACCTGGCATTTTGTTACCAGAATCAGTAATTGGTGCTTTCTGATATTGATGTCATTCTGTTTTCTTCAGAGAATGCAAGGATCTCAGTTCTGCTAGAAGTTTCATGCCATTTCAAAGGTTCGACACCCCCTCCCCAAAATGTTTTTCATCTAATTTCTGGGAATTCTGAGAACAGATAATATATACCTGTGGATGGAAATACAGTTACCTGCTGCTAATGCCATGAGAAACCTGTGGAACAGCCGTTTAAAAGAAAAAAAAAACTTTTTGACCAAATCCTGCTGCTACATGGCCTTGCAAATCTTGGAATGAGCCCTGGGCTTTTCCAGCTGGAATGCTAGGATATAGGAAAAGAAACCTGTTCCACAAAAAYATAATTTTCTCCTTGGAAACAATAATTCTTCTGTATTGGATCTTGAGTTACTTCTGGAAAAGTGATAAAACAATTCCAGAAAGTAAAGATTTTCTCTCTTCACTTTCTGTAGGTTGGGGTATTTCAGTCAGCACCCTGTGTCACATGGAATATCAACTTGATGGTTATTTATTTTGTAAGTTTGGTAGTTTCATAGCATTCTGTATTCAAAATAACACTTTACTATAGGGAAAATATTGATATGAAATACATGTTAAAAATAGCAATTAACCTGCTTGGTGTTTCTCATATTRAATGGAAGATAAACTGCTTGTTGTACAGTGGTGTGACACTGTACATTTCATTTATTTCTCATGCTGCACTAACTGCTTTTACAATCCAGTTGTAGAGAATTTAGATTATTTATAAATTCCTTCTACAAAAATAATGAGAGCATACTTCTAATCAATATTAATAGCTTAGTTTTTCATTCACAATGGCATGAATTTATTCTAGACAAGAGCACGGAAATGTTTAGAAAGGAGTGACTTTTCCAGATTTACAAATTGCTGCAAATAACCAGACTTAAAAAAAAAAATTATGGCATCAAAACAGGATTTATTGCACTTCCATGTAGGGAAATCAGTTCCTTTCAGAAATTACCTCCATGCCATAACAGTAGTTAAACTGTGATAAGTGTTTTTTTGAGTATTAATCATTTCAGACATTTTAAAGATTATAAAAATTAGGTGTGATTGAAAATACAGTTCTGAAAGGCTGTGCTTTCCTTCTTAGTTAACACTGAGATAAAGAACGAGGTGTACTTGGATGYGGGACCAAACCTGTTGGCAACTGAAGAAGCTGAATTTCCCTTTTGACTTAGGGGAGGGATTATTTTTGTTGTTACTATTAAACTGTAGAAAAGGTATTAATTAAACATACGTATGTACAGTATTCACATAAGTAATAATAAGCTGTAACACTACTTTAACTTGCTATGCTAATGTTTACATTACAGAATTTTTAAGCAAATGTGTAAATATAAAATTTTCTAAATACTTACTTGTTGTTTTTTTCTTTTAATATCCTGTGGTAATTTTATTGTAATTTTATTGGTTAAAATATGCTACGTTACCAAGAAGAAAATAAAAAATAACACCTTTTCTTTGAAGTACAGTGTTTATACTTTTCCCCTCATAGATGGATGCTTCCATGTCATATGAAAAAGGAAGTTTTAAAAAGGAAGCATCATATGCATTTAATCAACTTCCACCAGACAGGGCTGTAATTTAACAAAAAGAAAATGTTAGTAGATTYTTCATACTCACAGAATAATCTGCTGGTTAATTCAACTAAAATGCTTCAAGCCACCACTATTATGGAGAGATCTAATTAGCTGAACAGTTCATGTTAAAAAAGGACAGACACTTAYTGTAAAATTCATAGTGATGTTTATCTGCATCCTTTAAAACCCGTGGCAGGTCAGGTATCATTACAGGAGTTAGATGACAGAATTTTTCTGTTAATTAGTCTTGGCAGTCCCTAGGATTTTGTTCTTGCTTTTCATATCTCAGTTATTTAAGACCTGAAAGCAAAATGATGCTTCTAAACTTTAAATTAATAGTTTCAAGCAAAGGTTTTTTTTTTTTTTTTTTACTTTTCTGTCTGCTTGAAGTATTAAACCACAAATAGCCTCAGGCTGTCAATGGGGACGTGTTTTGGGACTCCATGGATTCAAGAGCTCCTGCACCAGGGTAGAGTTTCAGCCCTGCAGAACAAGTGGTTCTGGGTGGGTGTTTCGTGGCCACTTGAGCTTTATTTGCTGGCCTTACCAGCAATCTGAGCCTTTGAACTGCATGGAAAGGGTAAAATGTGATCATTAGGGGAAAACCAACCAGATTGCCAGCCCTGAGAAAGTTGGATAGAACGGAGTCAGTGCTGTAACCCTTTCTGTGCTATTTCCCACTGCCTTGTCCAACTGCTGGGATGCTGCTGCTTCATTACTGCTTTTAAAATCTCAGGAAGAACATGATTATTTCAAGGGACTCCTGATCTTTCTGTGCATCCAGGCAAAGACTCAGGTTGCATTTGGGAAATTGTAACAGCTTGGTATGTCGACATGGGCCTACAGAGTTTAAAGTTTTTCTTTTCAGGAAAGGACCTGTGGAGGATTTACTGCCTTTTTTATTTCTCTCCCTAGAAATTTTAAGGAAATAAGGAAAAAGCTTTGTACAAATGATCTGTCAGAGGAATGAGCAAAGATATTTTTAAGATAATGTTTAGAGTTAGATTTTTGCTACTGCACTTCAGTCTTTCTGCATGACCTTTTAAGTATTGTGAGTGAACTTACTGAATTCCCCAAATTAAAATAGATAGCTGACATTTTGATATATTGCAAGTCGTGCTTGATTTTGTTCTTGAAAATCATCATGCAGATTGTGTGTGTGTGTGTGATGCTTATTTTCTGAATTATTCTTGCGATTTTTTGACCTGCACTGGGACAGCAGGCTTTTATTATATGAGATTTCAAAGAATCATGATAACTTTCTTTTTATTTCTGACTCAATAACATCCATGCATTGTCCAACATTTCTTAATTRCCCA